CAGAGCGAGGAGCAGATTGACAAATATAAAATAGAGATAGATAGACAGAAATTCGGAGAAATACAGATAGAGGTATAGATAGAAAAGCAATTTGACAGATATATCGATAAATTCTATATGTACGTAACGAGAAACATATACAGATGCATACAGATATATACTGTATTCTACACATTTACAGACACTTGGAACCCCCTGCGATACGCGAAGGGACAAGGAAAAAAAACATATATGGCAACATCAACATGAAATCCTTCAACCATGAGCACAAGAGACTGAACATTTTTCCGCCGAGTGACGTGGCAGCGCGACCTCCGACCGCCTGCTTCCCTCCTGCGGTCGGGGCCTTTCTCCACGCAGCAGCTGAGGGCGTGCCGTCAGCGGGCGTCAGCGGGCGTCAGCGGGCGTCTCTCTCTCCTCTGAATCTGCAATCCGAGGCGTGGACCCCGGCGGCCGAGGCTCCGCGGGTCCTCTACCTGCGGGCGGGCTCGAGGCTGGAGACCCAGTCGGGCTGCGGGGAGTTGAGGAGCCGCACCACGCTGTCGGGGACCTGCAGGCGCTGACGCCTCTCGCCCTTGGCGGGGGCGTCGTCCAGGGAGGCGTGGGGGAGGCGGAAGGGCGGCGGGCGGGGGAGCTCGGAGCCGGGCCCGTGCGCCCACACGTTGAAGGGGCCCTCGCGGGGCGTCTCGGGCAGGATGAGGCCCGACTGCCTGACGGGGATGGACAGCGGCGCCAGCACGGGCTTGGTGGGTCCCGAGGGCTTGTGGCTGGCGGCGGTGGTGGAGGGCTTGCCGTAGGGCTTGGGCGAGGTGGGCTTGTAGGGCTTGTAGCCCGGCGAGGGGCGGTGGTAGGGCGCGAGCGTCGGGCGCGGGGCCTTGGTCGCCGGCGCGTGGTTGATGCTGTAGGCGACGAAGGAGGGCCCCGAGGCCTTGTAGGGCGCGCGGGTGGTGGTCCGCGGCGCCTTGTAGGACGTCGGCTTGTGGAAGCTGAAGGGTGGGCTTGTAGCTGGGGAAGCTGAAGCTCGGAGGCCTGTAGGGCGGCGTGGGCGAGCCGTAGGCGGGGCGCGGGCGGCCGTGCGGCTTGAAGTCCTCGGGCCGCGGCTCCTGTAGTGGAAGTGCGACGTGGCGGGGCGGTACGGGCGGTAGCTGGTGTACTTGGTGACGGGCCTCGGGTGGGCGGTCGGCCGGGCGGCGGGGCGGTAGGGGCGGGGCGTGGTGTAGGGCCGGCGGGGGCCGCGGGTACGTGATGGGGCGGGCGGTGGTGGTGGGCGTGGTCGGGGCCGGGGTCGTGGCGGGGGCGGCCGTGGGTGGTGGTTGTGGGCGGCAGAGTTGTAGGGTGGTAGGTTGGGCGCGGCGCGGGGCGGGGCTTTGTAGGGCTGGAAGGGCGTGGGGCGGCCGAAGGGCGGGGTGGCGAAGGCCTCCGTCGGGGCTGGGACGGCTGGCACGACCGAGGGCACGGGGGTCGACGGGGCTGGGAGGGGGTCCGGGAGGGGGCGGGGTGGGGGCCGGCATGGGGTCTGGGACAGGGGCCGGGTCAGGCACAGGGTCTGGGACAGGGCGGGGCGGGGTCTGGCATGGGGACAGGGGCGGGGTCTGGCACAGGGTCTGGCACTGGGGCGGGTGCAGGAGGCAGGGCAGGGTCTGGCACGGGTCTGGCACTGGGCAGGGTCTGGCATGGAGACCGGAGCGCTTGACTCTGGTAGTTTTTGATCTGCGAATAAACAATTATGATAAGATACTGAAAATAAAAATTATGGATAGAGAAAAAAGATAGATAAATAAATAATGATAATAAGGATGTGAAAGTTATTTTTTCCATTAATCTCAGAATCTATAATAATCTGATCAATATTCAAGAAGTATAAGTCGACATTGTATGACGAAATTCAAAATCAAGTGAGTAATAAAATAGATAATAAATGTGGCGATTATGTTCTGAAATTAAGCTTTCAGTTTTATCATTATTATTATTATCTACTATTATTATTATTATTATTATCATATTATCATTATCATAATTATTATTATCATTATTCATTCTCTATGCTATTTTTCTGTGACTTTTATTCTATATTAGGTGAAGATTGAACTCATCCGTGTGATATCTTTTAAATGAAAGAAAAGACGAAGCTGCATATACACTTCTTAAAAAAAAAAAAATAATAATAATAATAATAATAATAATAATTACACATCTAAAACAAAAACAAAATCACTTCCCAATTCCAACTCACCCAAAATCTCCATTCATAAAAGTATCAATAACCACTCCCTCTCCTTCCTCTCCTCCTTCCTCTCCTCCTTCCTCTTCTTCCTCTTCTCCTTCGTCAGGGAAGAGCAACACAGCCGACTCGAACTCCTCCTGAAGTGTTCCTACATCGACTCCGTCAGCCATAAAAGGAGCGATACCGTCCAGGGGCGCGATGTCGAACTGGTCCTCGGGAAGCTGCTGGGCCACTTCGAGGACGACCTCTTGGCCCTGGACGGCGGTCGGGGTGTCGCCGGCCTGGGGAAGGGGGAGGGGGGATAGATGGGGGAGGGGGATAGGGGAGGGGGATAGATGGGGGGAGGAGGAAGGGGTAACTTGTAGAGAGTATGTGTGTGTGTGTTTTTACGTGTGTGCGTAGAGGGTACGTGTGTGTGTTCTTGCGTGTGTCGGTAGAGTACGTGTGTATATTTTGACGTGTGTAGATAGAGAGTACGTGTGTATGTCCTTGCGTAGATAGTATTTGTGTGTGTTTTACGTGTGTGCGTAGAGAGTACGTGTGTGTATTCTTGCATGTGTCGGGTACATGGTTTATTTATGTGTGTAGGTAAAGAGAACGTGTGCATCTTTTAATGTGTGTAATTTTTTACGTGTGTAGGTAGAGAGTCCGTATGCAGGTAGAGAATACGTGTGTATATTTTCATGTGTGTACGTAGAGAGTACATGTGTGTATTTTAAAGTGTGTAGGCAGAGAGTACTTGTGTACATTTTTACGTGTGTAGGATGAAAGTTAGTGTGTACTTTTTTACGTGTGTAGGTAGAGAGCATGTGTGTATATATTTATGTGTGTAGATAGAGAGTACGTGTGTGTATTTTTATGTGTGTAGCTAGAGAGTGTACATATGTATATACAAATCTATGTATTAAATCCATATATGTCAGTTTAGTTTATTTTCGTTTATTTACTAGCGCGTTTATCCATTGATTTATGTATCAGTCTTATCAATTCTTTCATTGATTGCTTAATATATCATTATATCAAAAACGAAAAAATAAAACATTTTTTTTTTTCTCATTGCAAGAGAAAAAAGAGAGAGGAGGAGGAGGAGGAGGCAGAGGAAAATGATGAAGAAGAAGAATAAGAGAAGAAAGAAGACGAAGAGGATGAAGAAGAAAAGATGATGATGAAGAAGAAGAAGAGGAGGAGGAGAAGGAGGAGTAGGAAGAAAGACGAAGAAGATGAGGCCGAAGAAAAAAGAAAGAAGAGTTGCAGATTGAAGAAAAAACAAGAAAACAAGAAGAAAAGACGAAAGAACAAAAAAAAAAAAAAAAAAAAAAAAGGACCCCAACGTGACCCCAGCCGCCCACCTCGGGGTCCTCGGCGACGAAGAACATCTCCAGGTCCCCCACCGGGATGGCTGGCTCGACGGTGGGTGGGGTCTCCTGGAACACCTGACCCTCCTGCACGTCGTCGGCGATAATCTCCGGAAGCTGAGACATGTCCTAGGGGTGGGGGGAGAGAAGGGGGGGGCGTCATCGGGGTGGGGGTGATAAGGTGGGTGGGTGGGGGGCTTGTTTCTTATTCTTTCTGGGTTTTTTATTTTTATTATTATTATTATCATTATTATTTCTCAGTCTCTTTTTTTTCTTCTCTTTCTCTATCTATTTTTCTAATAGCTATTTCTGATATTTATCTCTGTTTCTATTTCTAATCTCTCTCTCTCTCTTTTTCTAATCTTTCTCTCTTCTCTCTCTCTCTCTCTCTCTCTCTCTCTCTCTCTCTCTCTCTCTCTCTCTCTCTCTCTCTCTCTCTCTCTCTCTCTCCTTTTCTCTTCTCTCTCTCTATCTCCTTATCTGTCTATCAGTCTGTTCTATCCCACTATCCACCTAGCTATCTACCTCCTCATCCCATACTCATTCGTCCCACTCACCTGGACGGCAATGGGCGGCAGTGAGGCATCTTCCTGCACCTCGATCAGCGCAGGTCCCACAGGTAACATGGCTTCCAGTTCTTCCACGGGGGGTTCGGGGACGAAGACCTCCGCGTCGCTCATGGGTTCTACGTCAGGCATCATTCCGTCCATCTGAGGGAGCTTCGAGAACATTTCCTCGGGCATGAACGGGATAAAGGTATCTTCGAAGACTTCTTCCTGAGGAGCGTCGACTGGTCCTCCGCTCGGAGGCAGGACGTCGCCGAAGCCGCTGGAGTCCAAGATGATGGCGGGGTCGTCCGCTTCGACAACAGGAGTCTCTGTGGGTTCCAGGGTTTCCATTCCCATACCGTCAGACATAAGACCGGGCATGGAGTCTCCTGTGGGCATTAAAGGTACTTCATCTCGAACTGGTTCAAAAGGCATGAAGTCAGCCATGTCTTCGACCACAGGCTCTTCGTCCACTGGGAATGGTGGGGGATCTGGGAAAACGGGCTCTTCGGGGACCACTTCGAAAGGTGCGCTGGACTGTTCGCTGGGGATTGCTGGGTCTGAGGCAGCGGGCGGGGACTCTGGTATCGCGTTCTCATCAACTGACGCCGGAAGGTCTCCAGGGCCGGTTGGCTCGAAGGACACCATGGCTTCGTTCTCAGGTCCTGCATCGACAAGAGGTACTCCAGGATCTTCCATGAACATCATAGTATCCAGAGGCTCTACATCTGCAGGAGGTACATCTTCTACAGGCATTGCAGCAGCAAGAGGTACTCCGGAATCTCCCATAGGCATTACATCTTGAGGCATGACATCTTCCTGAGGAACAACAGCTTCAAGAGGAACACCTGGTTCTCCCATGGGCATGGTGGCCTCCTCAGGAACTGCAGCTTCAAGAGGAACTCCTGGTTCTCCCATGGGCATGGTGTCCTCCTCAGGAACTACAGCTTCAAGAGGGACTTCTGGCTCTCCCATAGGCATGGTGTCCTCCTCAGGAACCACAGCTGCAAGAGGAACTTCTGTGTCTCCCATAACCATAGTATCTTCCGGAAGAACTGCAGGTTGAACATCTGCAAGAGGCACCCCGACTTCTTCCACTAAAGCTGTATCCTCCTGAGGTCCTGCAGCTTCCACAGGAACCACAACTTCTCCTGGACTCTGATAACCCGTCGGCGCCAGAGATTCAAGAGGAATTCCTGGTCCCAGTGGGATCTCGTTGGTGTCCAGCTGTCCTGCAGCGTCAAGGGGAACACCCGAATCCGCGGAGCCGCCCAGGACTTCGCCATCAGCACCAATAGGCTCCGGGAATCCTTCAACCACTCCGTCGGGGGACGCACTTCCTTCGCCAGTGACCGAGAAGCCGTCCACGACCACCAAGATGGGCTGGTCGGGCCCCTCGAGGACCGTGGCGCCGTCCAGGCTGTCGGGAACGACCTCGACGCCGTTGGTCTCGTCGGATTCTCCGAGGGTGATCGGGTCGAACACGACTCGGGACGACGTCGGCCCGAGCGGAATGAAGACTGGGTCGTCCGAGATTTCATTTGCGTCGCCGTCCGCTGCCTCTCCGGTGCGCCATCAGTAGCTCGTCAGTGGCGTCGTCAAACACCTCATCGTCGACGTCGACCAAGAGAACTGCAGCGTCGTCGTCAGCCGTTTCCAGTGATTCCGGAAGGATGATGAACTCCGGCGGTTCCGTGGAGTCAGCGACGTCCCCGAGAGGTAGGCTGACGGCGTCTGACCTCCGACTGATCTGCTGCTGAGCGGCTGCGCCCGCAGAGAGCAGCAGCACGACGGCGACGCAGCAGCCCGCCACCTTCCAGCGCCTCTCCTGCGGGAAAAGGTCTCCGTTAGAGTCCGTTGGTCTGAGTCCCGGGACGCCTGGTCATGCCTAGCCTTGCGGTGAGCCTCGCCCGGGTTCATATCATTGTGCTTTTATGATAATGTATATACATACACACTCACACACATACATGATATGTATGTATATATTGCGTGTGTGTGTATGCATTCATACATACATATATATATATATATATATATATATATTATATATAATATATATATATATATATATATATATATATATATATATATATATATATATATAATATATATAAATTGTTTGTATATACTGTATGTATGTACTTTCAGCCCCTTCACTTACTACTACTGCTACTATTTTTCCTTCTTCTTCTCTTTCTTCTTCTTCCTCCTCCTCCTCCTCTTCCCCACCTCTTCCTCCTCCCCATCCCCTTCACCTTTTTCCTATTTTTCCCCTTCTTCGCCTTTTCCCTCCTCCTTCTCTTCTCCTCCTCCTCTGTCTTCTCCTCTCGTTCCTCTCCTCTCTCCTCACCCTCTCCTCCCCCTCTCCCTCTCCCTCGTCACCACGTCAAGTTAGTCGACGCCCCCCCCTCCCTCCCCTCCCTCCCCCGCCCTCCCTCCCCTCGTGAACTGTTTTGAAAGGAATATTTTTTTTCGGGTTTCATTTTAGTTTTGTTTGTTGTTGCAGAGAGAGGTCTTCGTTTAGTTTTTTTTTTCTTGTGTTTTTCTTGTTTTATCATCTATTTTTGTCCAATTTATTTCCATTTTTTACGTGTTTATTCTGTTTCGTTTGTCCTCTTCTTATCTTTCTTTTCTCTTCTCTCTTCGTTCTTTCTTTTCCGTCTGTTTTGAGAGAGGTCTTCGGGTTAGTTTTTTTTTTTCTTATTGTTTTCTTGTTTATCATCTATTTTTTATCATCATTTATTTCCATTTTTTACGTGTTTATTCTGTTTCGTTGTTCCTCTTCTTATCTTTCTTTTCTCTTTCTCTTCTTTTCTTTCTTTTTCGTCTGTTTTTGGAGAGAGAGAAAGAGCGTTTATTATATTATATAATATTATATATATATATAATATATATATATATATATATATATATATATATATAATAATCTGTTGTTTTATATCCTTTTATGTTATGTTACGATCTTCTTATTATTCATTTTTTGTTCTCTCTCTCTCTCTTTTCTTTCTTTTTTCTTCTGTTTTGGAGAAAAGTGAAGAAGCAGGTCTTCGGTTTAGCTTTTTTTCTTTATTTTTATCATCTATTGTTTTATTACCTTTTTACGTGTTTATTCTATTTCGTTATTCCTCTTCTTATCTTTTTTCTCTCTCTCCCTTCTTTTCTTTCTTTTGCGTCTCTTTTTCTTAATTATCTTCTTTTCTGTATCTCCATTTTCCTTTTTTTATGTTTCACTTATTCATCTCTTTCTTTCTTTCAAAATTAGGATAAGTTTCCACACAAGTTGCGCAGGGAGTTTTTTGTTTTTTGTTTTTCTTTGTTTGTCTTTATCGCTTTTTGTGTTTTCTCATTCACAAAGTGTAGTTTTATTAACATAAAAATGAACTAAAACTATGAGTGAAAAATATCTGTTACATGCTAATGAACTAAGATATAAATTAAAAATATCTATGTTGCATGCTAATGAACTAAAACTGCGAATAAAAATATTTATGCAACTTTCTAATGAATTAAAACTAAGAATGAAAAATATCTGTTACAAATATCTATGTGACATGCTAATGAAATAAAAATGTGAATAAAAATATTCATTTTACATACTAATGAGCTAAAACTATGAATTAAAAATATCTGTTATATGCTAATGAATTAAACCTGTGAATGAAAAAAAATATTATATGCAACGATGTATGAATAAAACATGTTGATTTAGTGACTGAAAAAAATCTAAGAAAAGATTAATTTACTTTATTTCGATATATAACATATGCAATATATGACGAAAGGTAAGCTCATACATGTATTGATGATGATAGATAGAGCATAGATAAGATTGGTAAATAGGTAGTCCAAAGAGGTTAAATGATATAAATATATATATATGTCATTAAAAAAATAAATATATAAATAAATAAATAAATTACAGTACAGTTAAAGTAAGAGGCAAACTGGGCCATACGACAGACACGTAAATTACTCGGAAAGTAATATTAATCATCATATTCTGATCTAAATATAAGAACAACGAATACTGACGTAGCTGCATAAAAAAAAGAAAGAAAAAAAAATGACAACCGCATCAGTCGACAACATTTTCTTTCCTACGAGCGTAAAAAAAAAAAAATCTATTTTTTTTTTCTTATCTTTCTTTCATTATGGGGAAAATAGAGTAGACAAAGAGCATTATTTGTTTTATTTATACTTCTCTCTTTCGCGCTTTATGATGCTTCTTTGTTTAACATTCAATCAGAACACAATAAATAAAATAAATTGAAGCTCTAGCAACATGCCGCAACTACGGTTCGAATTTACGCTCCAACGGTCGGTTTCACTTTTAATGAATGAACTTAAATTACTCCTTTCGCTCAATTTAGTTCTTAAAAGACGCCACAGACAGCGTCCACGTGGCGTAAAGAGTTAGAGAAAGAAAATGTCAAATAAACATGTATTTCCGTGGTCTGTTTCCCGTTGATTGTTGATGGTGTTGTTGTCCGTCTGTCTCTCTGTCCTCTGTCTGGTCTCTCTCTCATCTCTCTCTCTCCTCTCCCTCTCTCTCTCTATCTCTCTCTCTCTCTCTCTCTCTCCTCCTCTGCGTTCTTCTCTCGTCTCTCTCTCGTCTCTCTCTTGAAGTTTTCTTGTATGTTCTCTCTGTTTTATTTGTTCTTCGTTGCTTCTCTCTTCATTTGCTGATTCTCCTATTATGGATTCCTTTGGCGCAATCTGTATTCCTATTGATCATTAGTTCGCGCTTTCTTCTCTTCCTGTTCTTTCAGTCTTACTTTCCTCCTTTACTTCCCTTGCTGTCCTCCTCGGTCCAGTCGTGTGCAAGGTCACTATCGATTTGCATCGAACGGATCATTCAGCTTTCCCCTCTTGCATTATCATCGCTATTACTGGCCTGCGTGTTTTTCCTTTCGTCTTTCTTCCCCTCACTGTCCTTCTCTCTTCTCCGCCCTCTCGCCCTCTTCCTTGTCTGTCGTTCGTTTGTGTCGGCTCCGTCTTCCTCCTCCTCCTCTTCCCTTTCTTCTTCTTTTTGCCTCCTCTCCTCTTTTATTCTTCTTCTTCTTCTTCTTTCCTTCCTCTCTTCTTTCTTCTCTCTTTCTCTCCTCGCTCGTTCGTCGTCTCCTCCTCTCTCCTATCCTCCTATCCTCTCCTCGTCGTCATCCACACTTTTTCTCCTCCTCTTCCTCCACCTCCTCCACCTCCACCTCCTCCTCCACCTCCTCCTCCTCCTCCCTTTCCCCCCATCCTTACCTCCCCCCCCCCACACCACTTTATGACGCCCACCGCCTCCACAAGTTTAATTCGCGCCCCCAGGAGATCGCGCCCGCACTTACGTTAGCATAGGTAGTGAGGCGCGGCGCCCACCCATTCGCGCGTGACGGCGAAATGGGGCGTGCGAGGCGGGTGGGCAACAGAAGTGGGTTGTGGGGGTTTGGGTTGGGTTGGGTGGGTGAGGGTGGGTTTCTGATGGGGGGAGGTGGGTTAGGGGGTGGGGGTGGGTCACTGATGGGCGGAGTGGGTCTCTGATGGGCGGCGGTGGGTCGGGATGGGTTCCTATAAGCCAGAAAAACCTCTAGGGGAATTAAGGGCGCGAGAAATTTAAAAAAAATAAATAAATAAAAAATAAAAATAAAATAAAAACAGAGGTCTATATCGAAGGTGGGAGGGTGAAATGTTTTGACGTCGCCAAGGTCGAGAATCCGGAATCACAACGGTGTTTGTCGCCACGCATTGTTTGTTTTGTTTGCGAATAATTGATTGTCCTTATCTTTGTGTTCGCGTAGAGGGAAGTGGAGCTGTGTTTAAGGATGCAAGACTGATCACGGTTCCGCCGAGTGCACGTGCTTGTGTGTGCGTGTGTGGTCGTGTTAGGTTATGCTTGTGTTGTTCTTGTTCTTCCTTTGCCTCTTTCGTCTTCTCGTTGTTCTTTTTTCTCTTTCTTCTCTTCTTCTTCTTTTTTTCTGATTTTCTTTCTTCTTTCGATTTTCTTTCCCTGTCTTTCTGCTTTTTCTTCTTCTTCTTTTCTTC